TTTTTATTACTTCAAGCATTATTTTTAGTGGTTACCCATATTCAAGTAGATGCTCAGTTTATTTTCAAAAGTATTTCATTTTGTCTGGCAGCCTGAACATTTGAGAAAGCTTATTAGAAAAAGAAATTCACCCTCTGACAGGAAAGTGGTGTGCATTTTTATTTAGTATGACTTCTCAAAGTGTGTGTGTGTGTGTGTGTTTTGCCTTGTTAAAGAAGACTGACAAGGTATTGTGATTAAGCTTTTTATTAATTTTTTCTTATTTGTATAAGTGTTTTTTTTTCTGGACATAAAAAGTGTGTAAAAACTGACCAGAAAAGAAAACCCTGATACAAACAAAAGAAAAATCAAATAAACTTGTATTTGATGAATTGATGCCCTAAATACACAATTATATAACTGTTAAATGTTATTTTTAGTAGATGACCATGTTGGACCTTCCATTTTTATTTTAGGCAGTGGTTATTACTTCTATGGTCAGTGCAATAAAGAAAATATGCTCTGCAGCAGAGCAAGCTTATTTAATACAGTTTATAAAAAAACAACAGCATCTATTTCAAGCATGGGTATCCACTAAAAATAAAGTTTGAAGTAATAAAAATGTTGGCTTATATATATATACACACACACACACACACATATATATATATAAGTGAACATTGAAGTCAACACTCAGAGGCGACAAGCTGTTTCATGCTCGGTGCAATCCTCAATCAGCCTGACGATTGTGCCTAGCATGAAACGGTCTGTCACCTCTGAGTATTGACTTCAACATTCACTTTTATATTTATATATACTCTATCTCCTATAAATATAGCACACCTTAAAACTATATTTTTATATATATATATATATATATATTATATTAAATGTAAATGTGGATCAGAATCCAACAGGATGTTAAAAAAAAAAACAAATAAGAAACGTATATCACTCTAACACGTTTCACTTTTAACAAAGCTTTAATAAAATTGAAACCTGTTAGATTGACATGTTTCCTATTTGCCCTTTATTTTATTATATATATATATATATATATATATATAAATATAAAGAGAGCATGTGATTCATAGGAAAGGAGAAAGATTTTAAAGTTATGGTGTAAGAATTAAAAAGCAAATTCTGCTGTAAAATTTTCCAATACTTAAATTTGATAGTGGACACTGATTCATTTATGTTTTAAAATTTAAATGGTTGTTATGTTGTTGAGTGCATGCACCTTTTACTTCAACCATACATGACCAACCATAATATCTGGCATTAATTGTAAAAATGAAAATCATATATTAATTATAGGTTTATGCTTTTTTTTTCTTTAAATACAAAAATTTTTTTCCTAAGAAATTTGTTATTAATTTTTTTTAAAAAATCTTGACAATAATATAATTGAAATTCCAGTATTAATCACAGATTTTTTTTTTTTCATAAGAAAAATCTGGTCTTAATTTTTTTATAATTAATAATTATAGGTTTCTACCTGTAAACTGTTAATGTCTAACCTTATCAAAAATAGGTGGGCCAGTATTAATCGTATAAGGAGGCTGCTTAAAAGCATAATTTAGAAACATTCTAAAAGAAAAAAAAATTTAAGAAACATTCTAGATTTTATTTCATCCCAAGCAAGGTAAAAAAAAAAAAATTTGTGAGAGAATTAATGAAAGGTCTGGTAAGAATTTTCTCTGTTTAATCATTTCATCCAAGCAATAAAAAGGGAATAAGAAAAGCAGATGACAATTGAAGACAATTTTGAAGATCAAACTTGACAATGTGAGAGAATATATTGATTTATATTCTGTTTACTCCTTGAAAAATATTTATTGAGGGAACTTTAAGAACAAGAATGAAACTGCAAAAGAAGGATGGAAAACGATTGATTATAATCCTCAAAACTTCAAACCAATATGTCTTGATGCCAGATTGAAAGTCAGAATTAAGACAGAAGATAACAAATTGACATTGCATTTAAATTTTTGAAGATCAAACTTGACTAAAAACCAAGAAGAAAAATCATTATTTTTGTTTGTCCTTATGAAGGGAAGAACAATGACTAAATTCTGAGAAAAATTTATTGAGGAATTAAGAAGATAGAAAGCAAAAAGATGACAATTGACATTTGCATTTAATGTCTTGTTGCCAGATTGAAAGTCAAAATCTCCCAAATGTCTTGATGCCAGATTGAAAGAACAGGAATTAAGACAGAAGATAACAATTGAAAAAACCAAGAAGCTGAAAAAATTGTTAAAAGTCCTTATGAAGTTGAAATTTGATGAAAAATATTTTTGTTTGAATCCTTATGAACGTCAGGAAGGTGAAGATTTTCATTGTCTTGATGCCAGATTGAAAGAACAGGAATTAAGACTAATATTCTGTTTACTAAAAAAAACCCTGGAAAAAATAAATATTATTTTTGTTTGTCCTTATGAAGGGAACTTTAAGATTTTTCATTGTTGTTAGACTAAATTCTGGGAAAAATATTTAAAAAGAAAGGAAATGCAAAAAG